TTGTCTACATTTTCTCTTCTACCTTCTTCTTCTCTCCCTTCTCTCTCTCTCTCTCTCTCTCTCTCTTTCTCTGAAAGATTTCTTCCTTTTTCTCTCTCAGTATGAAATAAGGAATGAAAATTACAAATAATAAATAATCTAACAATAATGATAACAAAAAAAATATGATAATTGTAGTATTAAAAAGTATAAATTGATAATTATCAATATGGAATTTATCAATTGATATTATTTTATTTATTTTAATATTAAAAATAATTTGAAAATATTAAAAGTAAATTTGTAAAATTAATGATAAATTTCATATTAATAGCTCTAATCAATTCATATTTTTTAACATTACTCTTATCGTATATTTCAATTCTTATTTTAATTTTTATTTTTAATTAATACTTAAAAGCAATTAAATAATTTCAGAGAATTGTATTAGATTTACTAAAGGAAGCTATGTCACGAGCAACAATAAATGGTAGTCGAGGTTTTTTAATTGATGGTTATCCACGTGAAATTATTCAAGGTGAACAATTCGAGCATGAAGTTAGTTAATTTATGCATTTAATAAATTAAATTAAATAATTATTTAACAATTTTTAATATTCAAAAGGGAAAAAAAACAAAATAAAAATCGTATTTTTTTTTTTTTAAATTAGATTTAAATTTACAAACAATTCAATACACTGCTCAATTTATTATGTTCAATCACCCGATCTTATCATTTGTTTTTAATGCTGATAAGAGAAAAAGTAAAATAAAAATTGCACCTTTTCAAAATTGAATTTAAATTTAAAACAATTCATTATACTATTCAATTTCTTAGGTTCAATCACCCGATCTTGTCATTTATTTTAATGCTGATAAGAAAACACTTTATGAGCGTTGTATGAATCGGCAAAAAATAAGGTTAGCAGAAATAAAATAAAATTTCATTATTAGTATCAAATTTATATGACTTAAGTAAACTATTCAAATTTATTTTAATTATTATCATTCTAGAGACAACTGATTAATTTCATATAAATATAAATATAAATATGAATATAAACATGAATATAAATATAGACGTAAATATAAATATAAGTATAAA